ATGCTGATTTAACACAGTGATGCTGATTTAACACAGTGATGCTGATTTAACACAGTGATGCTGATTTAACACAGTGATGCTAAGCTAACACAGTGGTGCTGATTTAACACAGTGATGCTAATTTAACACTGTGATGCTAAGCTAACACAGTGATGCTGATTTAACACAGTGATGCTAAGCTAACACAGTGATGCTAAGCTAACACAATGCTGCTAAGCTAACACAGTGATGCTAAGCTAACACAGTGGTACTGATTTAACATAGGGATGCTAAGCTAACACAATGCTGCTAAGCTAACACAGTGATGCTAAGCTAACACAGTGGTACTGATTCAACATAGGGATGCTAAGCTAACACAGGGATGCTAAGTTAACACAGTGGTGCTGATTTAACACAGTGATGCTGATTTAACACAGTGATGCTGATTTAACACAGTGATGCTAAGCTAACACAGTGGTACTGATTTAACATAGGGATGCTAAGCTAACACTGTGATGCTAAGCTAACACAGTGGTGCTGATTTAACACAGGGATGCTAAGCTAACAGGGATGCTAAGCTAACACTGATGCTGATTTAACACAGTGATGCTAAGCTAACACAGTGATGCTAAGCTAACACGGTGATGCTGATTTAACACTGTGATGCTAAGCTAACACAGTGGTACTGATTTAACATAGGGATGCTAAGCTAACACAGGGATGCTAAGCTAACACAGTGATGCTGATTTAACACAGTGATGCTAAGCTAACACAGTGATGCTAAGCTAACACAGTGATGCTGATTTAACACAGTGATGCTAAGCTAACACAGTGATGCTAAGCTAACACAGTGATGCTGATTTAACACTGTGATGCTAAGCTAACACAGTGGTACTGATTTAACATAGGGATGCTAAGCTAACACAGGGATGCTAAGCTAACACAGTGATGCTAATTTAACACTGATGCTTATTTAACACAGTGATGCTGATTTAACACAGTGATGCTGATTTAACACAGTGATGCTGATTTAACACAGTGATGCTG